AGTTTAAAGACCTCCTAATGAGGTCAGTCATCTTACTGGCAAAAATTGTTTTACTCTGCTTAGTAAGGTGCTTCATGGTTTCCAAGCAGGTGGTGGTCTGAAAACAGGGTCCCATGGTTGTAGAACCCAAAACCCTGTTACCAAAGCCAGTTTCATTTTTAGTTACTGGCCTGTCTTGTCAGTGCCCTCCTTTTACCCTTTCTTTACACTGGCAGGATTGAGGAGGATACCACCTGGGCCCCATGCTTTTCATGGCTGCCCCCAGGGCCTTGTAACTGTCCAGGTTTCCCCTGGCAATATCGTTACTGCCCACATTTGTTATGCCATTGCCTCTGCTGTTTTTCCCTATACTTACCAGTAGCCAGAAATTTGGGTAGGTTTGATTTTTTGCACTTCCTGAACAACAAAGACAGTTGTGTGAATTCTTGACATATATTCTGGTCCTCAGAATTTCTCTGGAATTGTTAGTCATAATTTTATCTATCTATATAGATTTTCTTCCCCATGTTGCTCATTTTTAGATATTCAGATTGTCCTAATTTTCAGTTTGTTTGCCCTGCTGCTTGTCTGTTTCCACAGGTCTAGCATATTTAAGGCTTCTCACTTATGTTTGTACTGGAGGGATATAACCCTTTATTGTCATATCAGGTGTGTCTTTTGCTGTTTTGAAAGCTAAATTAAATTAATTGTCAAAAACTTGACTTGTGTAATAAAATGGTATTCGTTGTCAGATGGATGTTCTCTTCGTTGGTATATCTTCCCTCATGGGATGGTACTCGCTGTGCACTGAAGCCAAATGTGGTGTTTCAATGCCAGAATCTGTAAATCCAGAAATTGAGTTTATCTGTTGTGAGCTAAGCCTTCATAATCATTTCTGTTGCATCTTTTAGAAACATTTTGTAATCACTTCTGAATTCCAACTGGAAAAAGTTGTAAGAGTGTAAAAACCTGAGTTCTTCAGCATAATTCTTTCTTTTAAGTCCAGAATATGTGTGAAAACTTTCTCTGTTTGCAATATTCATTTTTTTCTAAAAGTCAGTTTCTTTGAGGCATTTGCACTGTACATTGATGCTCATTTGAAAAAGATGAAATGAACATTATGAGATGGAATTTTTCTCAGTTGGTCTCAGTTGCTTGTCCCATCCAGTTTCTGTTCTTCCATTCTAGGTGATTATTAAGCCACAAGTGTCTAATACTTATAATTGCAAGAACTTTGACTTAACAAATCTGCCTTTTGAATTGAAAATACCCTAAAACATTATTTTATGGACAACTATGTACTGAATGTAGTAAAATCTTGAAAGAGTTTTTATTAGAAATTGAAATACTTGACCCTAGAATGATTTAACAAGAATGGCAGCTTTTTCGGTGTAAACGTTAAACTTTCGTAATTGAATTTTGGAAGCTTCATAGTACTGTTTATAGCATGACATATTGTATATCAGTCCTTTTCTATTAACATTAAACAGTTTTGTCAGCAGTGGATGGCAGTAGAATTATAATTAGATCTCTTTATGAAATTCATTATAAGATGAAGAAAAGTGGATGTTATCTTCTGTGCTAGTTGACACATAGAACAACTGTATACTCTACCTCTATGCATTTTGCTACTTCTAAGAATATGTAACAATATGGAAATAATTTTGCAATTGTGTTCCCTGTATTAAATATAGGTCCAAAGGCTCTATTTTTAAGTTGAGTGAATTTGGTAATTTGATTTATTTCACAGTTAGTTGAGGTGTTCTGCTGAGCTATAATGCATAACAAAGGAGTTTAATCCTCAAAAGAGATGGGAAAATGAGATAGTTTTCCTGTTAATTAGATTTCTGAAAGAGATATAACATTGTTAAGTCTCTAGTTAGGTGGTTGTGATAATTTTAGTGTAAATTCTCAATTTAGTTTAACTGTTTAAGGTCATTTATTACGGTTCATAGGTTAGAAGCCTGGACCAATGGTACATGGTACAATTCCACATGTGCTGATTTTTGGTAAGCTGAAAGCTGATAAGGACTGTATTTTAAACATGTGCATACTCAAGTTGTAGGTTTTAAGCTCGTGAACTATGACATATGGAGATAATTTTGGGTTATGTAATCTAAGGCATTCTTGAATAGGATGACCAAACACAGAATAAAACCAAGAAATAATGGAGCATTTCTCCCTCTGCTACCACCATGCCTCGTTCCTACAGTTTCCCTGGACAGTATGTCTCTCAAGGGATTGGCAAGCAAAACTTGGTGCTTGCAGCATTGGCTTCCAGCTGCCTTGTCCTCTTCTCTTTCATCCAGTCCCTGTACTGTAACTGCTACATGACCTCTTCCACTCCAAATGCTCTTCAGTCACCCCATGTTCCACATGCTGCTCCTTTTCCAGAAGGACCTTATACTGTGTATGCTTTACTCTGGAGATGACCGGGTTGGAAATTAGGTCAGCAGCTGGATTGTTTTCAATTAAATAACAGACATAATAACCTTTTAAAGTGATTTTTATTACTCCCATGTTTAAAATGTAGCTGACAGTTGTGGGGTAGCAAGTGTCTGGTGAGCCATACAAGGGTACAGACACCTGCCTCAGCTTCATGGTCATTTGTTACCTAAGGAGTTCCTGAGTCAGAAGCGCTGTCCTAGTTCTTAGTAGCTCTTCAGGATTACTTTTCCTTTTTTTTTTTTTTTTGTTTGCATACACTTGTCCATTCACTATTAAACCACTTAAGTTTTTCATGCTTGCAATAACTTTGATCAAAGGATTGCATAGGTTAGTCACATGCTGGTTGCATGTTGTTGTTTTTAGGTAGTACATACTATTTGCATATAATGCTGTACAGTTTTTACATTGAAAGAGGTTGTGTAGATCTGTTGACTATGCGCCTCCTCTTACATGTTGCTCCTCAGACTCCTAGTGCTTTAGGAGTCCTCATTTTAGTCATTCTTTCTGGATACCTTTGTTTCCTACCTTTCTGATGCTTGGATGTGTTTCTCTAAACCTTTTGCATATCAGATATATCCTCTTGGAGGTCAATGAACTGCAAACTTAAGTGGATTTAATCAGTGGTATAATAATGCTGTCTACTCCTTTGCTAAATAGCATTGTGTCCAACAGCTGCTGAACACTGAGTTGAGGTTTCCATCAGTCTTTCTGTACTAATCCCAAGATCACATTTCTGCATGCATTCACTAAGTTTACAGCTGATTACTAAAATTGAATAGTTTTTTTCCCCATGTGCATCTCTCTGAATATTGACATTACAATTTACCATTTTGAGTTTTAATCAGTACTTCTTGAGGTTTCTTTTCCAGTTCTTCACATCTGATTCCCCTGTTTTCTGCCTTCAGACAGGCATCTTCATCATCATCTTTATCACCTCATCTGTCAGAAGCCAAATGATATTCCTTGGGCACTCCTTTTCCTGCCGTAAAAACTAAACATAATATTTCAGCTACAACTCATAGCTAAACTAAATGTTCCAAAGCTAAACACCATCCAGTCCCCATAATTTCTTCTTATTTCACTTATTCTTTAACCTCTCCTTGACACAGATGAGAGAGATTTATTGGCTCTTTCATTTCAGAGACATTCCAGCCTGGAAATCTCTGAAGGCCTTTCATAGTGAACACAGAAGAAAATAAATTTTTTTTTTTTGCTTGCCAGCTCTTTTTATACAGTGACTGTGGTTTACTTTTTCTGACGAGCTTGCTAACTCCAGTGTATATGAAAGAGGATTTGTTACTGTTTTACAAGTTTTCCCCTCACCTTTTTTTTAATGTGCCTTTAATGTATGTCTGTATTTTGATTTATTGAAGTTATTCTTCATATGACACAGCTCTGCAAGGTCTACTTTCAAGCATCTGTTTTGGCACTTTGCTGTGAATGCTTCCATTTTCCTTTTTCTCAACTGCTTTGTGGTTGGAGGTAGACATGGTTTTTATTACATACATTATTTTAAGTTTATAAGCAATGCAGTGGTCTGAATAAGATTGGTTTAGTTAGCATATCTGCCTGTGCAGGTTATTGTGACTCTGTGCGTGCAGATTTGCAATTACTTTGTAGATACAGGATTCATTTTTAAATGATTTTAGTTCCTGAAAAAGTGATGAGATATTTCATAAAGATCAGGAAGACAGAAAGAATGTGAGTAAAATCTTACTTGTCTGTTCTGCTTATAGCTGAAATAGAGTTAATTTTCTTCACAGTAGCTAATATGGGGCTGTGTATTGGTTTTGTATTGGGAACAATATTGATAACATATACCACATAGTTGTGCAGTTGCTGCAGAAAAGAATGGAACAGGTGACCTCTAGAAGTATGTTGTAATCTGTAGTTCAGCACCAAACTGATGTTGTCAGCATGAACATGAGAATTTCCGATCTCTAATAGTGTAGAGTTGAGACTGCTCTAACCTCCTGATCACAAGATTGACGTGACAAGAAAATGTGAAGTTGGGGAAAGAAGCTGTTCATTGTGGACAAAAGTAATAGTGTGAGAGTTCAGCTACTCATAGGTAGACTGCATCGTTGTTTTATTAGGATTGTATGTAGCAATAAGAATTTTTGATCACAATAAATAAGAGATTTTTAGTGAATTCTGGATCTGGTATAGTAGGGCATCTCTTTATTAAAATGTTTATTTTCTCGGAGGCAAATAAGAGAATAGCTTTGAGGTAGTCATGTGTATGAGATTTGTTCTTTATTCTTCACTGGTATGTTATTTTTATACTTGTATAGATAGTGGATTTCATATACTTTTAGATAAAGAATTCTCACATTTCAGCTTAAATAAAATACACCTTTTCTCTTAATTAGGTTATTAATTATAAAGCGTAGACACTTGATCTAATTAATTGAATATAGTCAGATTTTACCTTCCTCAGAGAAATTTTCCTTACCTTGAAAAATTCCTGTTGAAAAAGGTGCTAACTTGTCATAAATCCACTAGATTTATGTCATCAACAAGTCTGTGTACTTTTAAATCACAACAGGTGTTTTTGTTTTGTATTCTCATAGGAAAAGAGACTGAGAAAGCCAAAGATCGGTGTGAAAAGGCCACTATGAAACTTCATATGTTGCATAATCAGTATGTGTTGGCACTGAAAGGAGCACAATTACATCAGCACCAGTATTATGATTCTACACTTCCTCTGTTACTTGATTCACTACAGAAGATGCAAGAAGAAATGATTAAAGCCCTGTAAGATACAGTCTTACATATTTTTATTGTGTACAAATTTGTGTGTAGTAGTATAATTAATGTGTAGGATTATTTGAAAATAATAAACTGTGATTAATTGTATATCAAGGGATAACAGTTGACAAAAGTCTATCTAGATGATGTAGACAGTAGTGCTTACTTAGGCATTCTAGAAAGTTACCATCTTCATAGAAAACTTAAAATTCTTACGGATTGACTGCAGTGTTTATATTTGAGCTCATGCTTTGTCCTTCAGCTAATATACTGTGGCAAGTTTGATGCCTGTGTAGTAGTCATTATTATGAAATTCCACCTGCAACAAATTTGGTTTAAACTGCTGAGCTGTCTTGAAAGTCATTGTGGAGAGGGACAAACAGATGCATGGTTGATGATACGTGTGGGAGAAGTAACAGGATCATGTGCATTTGATCTCACCGTAAGGAATCCACCCTTAAAAAGAGAGTTACTTTTGTCCGAAGAGATAGGTTTTACATCATTACAGAAGATGCACGAACTGCTGATCACTGAGAACAGACAATGAGGACTTGTAAGCCCTCCTTTCTGGTTCATAACTACTATGCTACCTCTTTTTCTTTCCTGAAGAGTGGGAGTTTCTTTTCTGTGGTGTTGTATAAATCACTTCACCTAGAAGGAGAGAGCAGTACCCTTTTTTTTCAGGTATTGTTCATTCAGATGTCAAATACTCTTGTTTAACTGGTTTTCTTACCTGCTCTGAAGTCTCTGTTCATCTTGACTTCAGCACACAGGAAGTGAGGGAGAGTTGGGGATTTCACACTTTCCATGCTTATGTGGTGCAGACACCATTAACTTCCCTATGCAGGAATTTCTTTGATTCTGGCACAGGTATAAAAATGAAATAGATCTTTGTAGTAGTCTCTGTACAGCCCTTTTAATCTTAATTTTGTATGTAAGATCACAACAAAAGGCTACAGATAAACGTGTGTGCTGTAATTAAGGTGATTTTTTAGAATTGTGAGATATGGTAATTAGCTGAAGAGTTTTATGTTGAAACAAGAACTCGTTGAACCCATTCATGTTTGCTATGGCTGGAGTAAAATCCTGTAAAAAATATTTTTCTCACTACGTAGACATTTCTGTGAGATCTGAATGTATTGGAAAATTATTCCTTTATAGTATCTTTGGTGTACAAGAAGAAGTGGTGATTTCAGTTGTAGAGCTTATTGTGACCTTCTCTGTGGAGCATACTTCCTTGATAATCCTGATTTTGCAGGTGAATTGGTTTGGTAAACTTGAAGAATTATAGATTAATATTGCCTATGATTTTGTTGTTGTAAGTGATATAGTTTTCCTTTCTTTTTGACATGGTATTGCTGTAGTTTATATTTGCCTGTCTTTTCATGAAACTCTATGAACTATTTTCTGGAACCTTTTCACACGTGATGTTTACAGGCAAGGCAAGATTTAATGCCTTCTCTTGTCTGTTTTCCCCTCAGAAAAAGTATTGAAAAAAATCCTATCACATAACTTTTTTACAGACTAAACACAACTGCAGGTCTTACCCAGGAGGAATGCCTTGATATTTTTTCTCTGCATGTTCCTCTTGGCTCTTCCTCGCCAAAATTCATCAGAGAATGAATTTTTTTGAGAGCTCACCCTGCTCCAGAGGCTGGCCAGCTAGCAAATTTGTCAAATACAAAAATGAAGTAGGAAATTATTATGAAAGTACATTTAAGAAAAGCTAAAAAGTTAAAGAGAATAGGAGAATGTTCTGAGGATATTTCACAGGACACTATTAAGAATAGTGGCCCAATATCACCTCTTCATTTGCCATTCACTATTCATTTGTCTTTTCCCACTCTTGGAAGCAGGTAAAGACAAGGTTGTGTGGCTTGTACTTTCTTACAGCAACCTCTTGGTTGATTTTCTCTCTAGTAAATATATGCTGCCTTGTGATTTATGCCTATTTTTGTCTGAATGACAAATCATAAAATAAATTTATGAAAGAAGAATGTTAAAACATTAAAGAAAACTGGGTTTTAAAGGAAATCCACGCTATTCAAAACATTCTGTGGATGTTTTGCCTTATGCCAGAATGTAATTTTTTTGTCAGTCAGAATATGAAAAGCTTTAGTGTAGATTATAATAAGCATGGTATGTCCTGTGTGGGGAAGAATATCATCAATGGACTCTATACATTTCTTTCCCTTGTAATCTCAATGGTTTCTAGTTCAGCTATGCTGTGTGTAGGTGCACTGAAACCCATACAAGGGGCATGGTGTTAGAGACTCGTAGCCGGCCTAAGCCTGTAAAGAAAAGGCCTCAGTTCATATGCTACTTCTTCAAAGAATTGTCTTATTTTTCCCTTTTTAGCCAGTTGCAACATGAGTTTGTAGAAACAACAAATTGGAAGTTTGAAGCATCTTCAAAGCCATCTATGTCTTCAGTGCCATGTTAAAAACTAAAATTTTTTTTCCTCTCTAGAAAAGGGATCTTGGATGAGTATAGCGAGATCACCAGTCTCGTAACAGAAGAGATTGTGAATGTCCATAAAGAGATCCAGACCTCGGTTGAACAGATAGACCCTAACTCTGAGTATAATGACTTCATAGATACTCACAGGTATACATTTTCATCTCATGTTTCTTCTTGAGAAAACTCTGTTTAAGCGATCAGAGTTGAATTTGTTTGGTTTGTTCCTTTTTACATTCAAACTTGTAAAACTTTATCCTAGTTTGACAGTTGTTCTACCTGCACATACAGAAAGCTGGCTGAAAGTCAGGTTTTTAACCTGACTGCTTTCTTTAACTCTTTATCTCTTTGGCTGTGTCTAGAAGAACAAGTTTACAGTTGTATGAGAAGAGCCATAACTTTGGTACTGATAGCAGACTAGACAAGACAGTCTTGACTCAATGGGAGCTAATTTGCCATTTATTTGGATGCCGTTTGCATTCTGGGCTAAAATTATTCTTGTTTGAAGTCAACTAGGTACATCTGTGTTGTCTGCAGTTATTGCAGGTAGAGCATGAGACTGCAGAGCATGTAGATAATGCAAAAAATTTTTACTTTAACAATAAAGTGTATTTCCCATTTATTGAACTGTTGATCTGTATTAGTATATGTAGAATAGTCCTAAGACTTCTTGTGTTGTCTTTTTTGTTATTGTGTGTGAATTGATAGTTGTCACATGCAGGTTTATGACAGAATCAGCTATGAGTGGCCTCATTCACATTGATAGCCCTTGAGAACCGTGTTTGTGCTGTGATCTTGATTCAAAGAATTGTATTTGTTTTATTATATCATAAGATTTTAGGACTATGTTCTACATTCAAAGGAGAAAGAAGATGCATCCAGTTGCTATCTGTTCTTTTATTTCATATGTTATCTGAACAATATTCTAGTTTAACAAATATTTTGAAACACAATGACTTTCTTTATGATCTATCTAAAGATATATGTTAATTTTGAAGAGCTAACAATTATTATCTAAATTAGGTCATCCGAAGTTGTTGAACAAGAAATAGAGTTTGATACATCTTTACTAGAAGAGAATGAAAATCTTCAAGCTAATGAGATCATGTGGAATAACTTAACAGCAGAAAGTTTACAAGTCATGTAAGTCTTTACAAATCTTTGGAATTTACAATCATTTGGAAATGCTATTACATGTTGTATCTAGGCTGACTCAGATCATTGCATAGCCATATCCCCATTTTTAAAGTCCAGTTTCTAAAAGTATTATTTTCA